AAGAGGACGGGAGTTCTCGCTGTCAAAAGTTTAAACGAGCCTCCACATTGAGCAAAGTAACGTCTCCGCCCACAGTCAGGAAGGGACTAAGTGTCCTACTTTGATGATTGGGAGATCCTGGAGTTCGCAGCTGTTTCAAGAATGTCATTGCCACATGACTGGAAATTCCGTGTTGGACTATGGTATGGCCAAAAAAAAAAAAAAAAAAAAAAAAAAAAAAAATAAAAGAATTGGGGGGGGGGAAAAAAACCCCCAAAAAAAAAAGTTTTTTAAAAAATCCCCCCCCCACACAAGAATTGAGAGAAATATGTTTTTCGATAGTGATAGGAGTAGTATCGATAATCGAAAGGAAAGAAAAATCTGAGCTTGGGTAGCATTCTGGACAGTGACGATGCACGTACCGCTCTTGAAGCATGAAGAATGAATATATCCTACCAACGGACGCAGGAGCGCTTTGCCAATTACTATGGTCAGAAAGGTAGGCCAGCGAAGAATCGGTCTTAAAGAATTTAGTCCATTGTGTGGTCTGAAACTGAAGCGTGGAGAGGGAGGTGGCTTGACTGTCGGTCCTTTTCCGATAGAATGGGGAAGGTAACAAGGAGCATCATCAGGAGATAGACGTTGGCGTTTTGGAGTAGGACCGAGTTTGGGCCGGCGTGAAATTGGGCGGGCGATTCGAAAAACTGCCGTACCGTAAGGGAGGAAGCCGGAAAGCCATAGTCAAAGGAGAGCGGAGGTATCAGAGAAAAAAAAACAAATCGAAGGAGTCAGAATCGAAGGCCGGTACCTGAAGGCGGGGTGAAGGAAACCGCACCACAAGAACACAGGGCATCAGGAGTGGTCTTCCGAAGAGTGGTCTTTGTAACACAAGGCAAAGGGTCAGAATGGTGTGCGGTATCAAGAAGGGGCCCGGGGGGTAGTGGGTTCATGATTGGTTCTCCATGGCTTTAGGTTACTCCTTTGCTTTTTTGTTTTTAAGAAAAAAAAGAAAAAAGAAAAGGAAAAAAAAAAGAATAAAAAAAGGGAGCGGGGAGGGAATAGTTCCCAGGAGGAATGAAAGGGCCGGAAATTCCTCCCTCCGCGCCCAATAGAGACACGTCAGCACCGCTAGTAGCGCCAGAGCAAGCATGAACCCGTGCCATACCTACCTTCATCCCAGTAAAACCAGCAATCCGGATAGCAACCTCACATCTGCCGATGCTACCGTGGGACAAAAGAGAGGGGCGGCCGATATCGCGCAAAAAGCATACCTCCTATCGGCCACCACCCCCGGAATCCGAAAGTGCTTCCAGAGATACAAACCCGTTCCGCCCGAAAGACACCCACAAAGCTACTGTCCGGATACCGAGAGGGATCGGGATACCTCCTCCAGCGATCCAGAGTTCCACCACGCAAACTACGCCAACGCCAAGAACCTCAACGGTATGGGAATGGACCCCGGTATCCAATCCTCTACCTAGAACTACCCGCCTGTGGAAAGAAATCCC